AAGCCAAATTAGATGGTCATACTAGTTGTGTTAACTCAGTATGTTTCTCTCCTGATGGAAATACATTAACTTCTTGTAGTAATGATGAGTCTATCCGTCTATGGGATGTCAAAACAGGATAATAAAAAGCCAATTAGATGGTCATTAGTATTAAGTTAACTCAGTTTGTTTCTCTCCTAATGGAAATATATTAGCTTCATGTAGTGATGATAACTCTATCCTTATATGGGATGTCAAAACAGGATAATAAAAAGCCAAATTAGATGGTCATTCGAATTGGGTTAGATCAGTCTGTTTCTCTCCTGATGGAAATACATTAACTTCTGGTGGTGAAGATATGTCTATCCTTCTTTGGAATGCCGAAACTGGATAATAAAAAGCCAAATTAGATGGTCATACTAGTTGTATTAACTCAGTCAGTTTCTCTCCTGATGGAAATACATTAGCTTCTGGTAGTGATGATTAGTCTATCCGTCTATGGGATGTCAAAACAGGATAATAAATTGCCAAGTTAGATAGTCATGATGCTGGTGTTTACTAAGTTTGCTTCTCTCCTGATGGAAATACATTAACTTCTTGTAGTAATGATAAGTCTATCCGTCTATGGGATGTCAAAACAGGATAATAAAAAGCCAAATTAGATGGTCATACTAGTTTTTTATCGTATTATAAACATCATTTACTAATTATAATACTTTCTAAGCAATATTGGCACCCAAAAATATTGCCACTTTTTGTACTTTAGCACATGAATCGCCATAAGGGTGAGATAGTGACTAACGTTTAGGAGATGACCCCTAAGGTGTTGGATGGGAGGGTTTTTTTTTTTGTTTAGTGTTTGAATGTATGTGTAGTTTTATTTTCCAGGAGAGGTAACTAACTACCTATATCTTAAGGTTCATACTAAGCTTTTGAAATATATAGAAAATCTTACATAAAACTACAACTAGAAATCCAACAATCCAATCATAATTTTAAGATTTAATCCAATCTTAAAACATTTAGCTGAAAATTAAAGATAAACAATAAAAATTAATTAATTATTCAAAGAACTCAATATTTATATAAATTAAAATCATCATATAAAAGAAAAATATTCTATATTATTAAAAAATCAAGTATTGCGGATGTTGAAATGGATTCTCAATCGCATCATTTAAATCTAATACAATCAATTCAAAATCTAAACAAAGTCCTAACTTCTATTTTTCAGAAATGCACAAGATACTATTATCGATTTTGCAGTATATAAGTTAAAGTAAGAGTAATAGAAATTCAATATTAAAAATAAAAAAGAAAATGAAAGGCTCTTTTTAAGTGAAGGAAGCTCTAGCTGACATCTTTGATTAAGTAAAAGATGTAGATATACACATCTTTGGGGCTATTTTGGAAATATTTCGAATAGAGTAAGTTTAAGACAGCATAGGATATCTATCAAACATGGGGAATCAGAGACGATTAGAATCAAAAATTTTACAACAAGTAGAGAATATCACTCAAGTTGATAAGGAATAGAAATTTTCTGTTATTGGAAATGACATGAAATAAATTACAGATGTCTTAAAAAAATTGAAATATCATGAGTTCAATTAGAAAGACTTTTCCTCTGAAGAGAATGAAGAATCAAATCTAAATCTAATTTAAAGAATCAAGGATAATAAATAGATATTAGAATTAATGTAATTTTTAGTTCACCTTACATCCATTGATGAAGCTTTAATATAGGGTGGGTCGAATTCATTACATTTATTAGTTTAGATGAAGGTAGACCTTAGAATAAAAAATTTTGAAAATATTATAATCTAAAACACTTCTTTGATTGGTGCAAATTTTGTTAGTTGTAATTTAAGTGGATCTTAATTCAAAAATGTCAACATAAGTGGAATAAATCTGAATAGAGCATAATTATTTAATTGTAAATGGAGAGAATTAAGAATCCATGAATTAAACTAATTACATGGCCATAGTAATTACGTAAGATCAGTTTATTTCTCTCCTGATGGTAATACAATAGCATCTGGTAGTTTGGATAAGTCTATCCGTCTATGGGATGTCAAAACAGGATAATAAAAAGCCAAATTAGATGGTCATGATTAGTAAGTTAAATCAGTCTGTTTCTCTCCTGATGGAAATACATTAGCTTCTGGTAGTGATGATAACTCTATCCGTCTATGGGATGTCAAAAGAAGAAAATTGATAGCCAAATTAGATGGCCATACTAGTTGTATTAACTCAGTCGTTTATTCTCCTGATGGAAATACATTAGCTTCTGGTAGTGATGATTAGTCTATCCGTCTATGGGATGTCAAAACAGGATAATAAAAAGCCAAATTAGATGGTCATAGTTATAATGTCTACTCAGTCTGTTTCTCTCCTGATGGAAATACATTAGCATATACAGGTGGAAGTAGATCTCTTTTTTTGTAAGGAGATAACTTTATCCGAATATGGGATGTCAAAACAGGATAATAAAAAGCCAAATTAGATGGTCATACTAGTTGTATTAACTCAGTCAGTTTCTCTCCTGATGGAAATACATTAGCTTCTGGGAGTGATGATTAGTCTATCCGTTTATGGGATGTCAAAACAGGATAAGAAAAAGCCAAATTAGATGGTCATGTTTTGTAAGTTAATTCAGTCTGTTTCTCTCCTGATGGAAATACTTTAGCTTCTGGTAGTTATGATATGTCTATCCGTCTATGGGATGTCAAAACAGGATAATAAAAAGCAAAATTGGATGGTCATACTAGTTGTATTAACTCAGTCGGTTACTCTCCTGATGGAAATACATTAGCTTCTGGTTGTAATGATGAGTCTATCCGTCTATGGGATGTCAAAACAGGATAATAAAAAACCAAATTAGATGGTCATACTAGTACTGTCTACTCAGTCTGTTTCTCTCCTGATGGAAATACATTAGCTTCTGGTAGTGATGATAAGTCTATCCGTCTATGGGATGTCAAAACAGGATAATAAAAAGCCAAATTAGATGGTCATACTAGTTGTATTAACTCAGTCTGTTTCTCTCCTGATGGAAATACATTAGCTTCTGGTAGTGATGATAAGTCTATCCGTCTATGGGATGTCAAAACAGGATAATAAAAAGCCAAATTAGATGGTCATACTAGTTGTATTAACTCAGTCTGTTTCTCTCCTGATGGAAATACATTAGCTTCTGGTAGTGATGATAAGTCTATCCGTCTATGGGATGTCAAAACAGGATAATAAAAAGCCAAATTAGATGGTCATACTAGTTGTATTAACTCAGTCTGTTTCTCTCCTGATGGAAATACATTAGCTTCTGGTAGTGATGATAAGTCTATCCGTCTATGGGATGTCAAAACAGGATAATAAAAAGCCAAATTAGATGGTCATACTAGTTGTATTAACTCAGTCTGTTTCTCTCCTGATGGAAATACATTAGCTTCTGGTAGTGATGATAAGTCTATCCGTCTATGGGATGTCAAAACAGGATAATAAAAAGCCAAATTAGATGGTCATACTAGTTGTATTAACTCAGTCTGTTTCTCTCCTGATGGAAATACATTAGCTTCTGGTAGTGATGATAAGTCTATCCGTCTATGGGATGTCAAAACAGGATAATAAAAAGCCAAATTAGATGGTCATACTAGTTGTATTAACTCAGTCTGTTTCTCTCCTGATGGAAATACATTAGCTTCTGGTAGTGATGATAAGTCTATCCGTCTATGGGATGTCAAAACAGGATAATAAAAAGCCAAATTAGATGGTCATACTAGTTGTATTAACTCAGTCTGTTTCTCTCCTGATGGAAATACATTAGCTTCTGGTAGTGATGATAAGTCTATCCGTCTATGGGATGTCAAAACAGGATAATAAAAAGCCAAATTAGATGGTCATACTAGTTGTATTAACTCAGTCTGTTTCTCTCCTGATGGAAATACATTAGCTTCTGGTAGTGATGATAAGTCTATCCGTCTATGGGATGTCAAAACAGGATAATAAAAAGCCAAATTAGATGGTCATACTAGTTGTATTAACTCAGTCTGTTTCTCTCCTGATGGAAATACATTAGCTTCTGGTAGTGATGATAAGTCTATCCGTCTATGGGATGTCAAAACAGGATAATAAAAAGCCAAATTAGATGGTCATACTAGTTGTATTAACTCAGTCTGTTTCTCTCCTGATGGAAATACATTAGCTTCTGGTAGTGATGATAAGTCTATCCGTCTATGGGATGTCAAAACAGGATAATAAAAAGCCAAATTAGATGGTCATACTAGTTGTATTAACTCAGTCTGTTTCTCTCCTGATGGAAATACATTAGCTTCTGGTAGTAATGATAAGTCTATCCGTCTATGGGATGTCAAAACAGGATAATAAAAAGCCAAATTAGATGGTCATAGTGATTATGTTAGATCAGTTTGTTTCTCTCCAGATGGAAATACATTAGCTTCTGGTAGTGATGATAAGTCTATCCGCCTATGGGATGCCAAAACAGGATAAGAAATTAAATCTTCTGATATAAACTACAAAGATATACTTGCATAATTTACGATTCCACTCTAATAAAATTGTCCATTATAAGAAGGTACTATTAATTTTTTGATATTTTAAGCCTCCAATTACATCACTACACTTCTCATATCCTAATAGGCCATATTTTAAGCATAAGGAGCACTAATTTTGAAAGGAGAGTTTATCAATCAATCAGGTATAGACTTAAAGACATTGTTTAAACAAAAGGGTAGCTGTATTTTAGAAGACCTTAAGAAAAAGTGATAATTCTTCTTCATAAAGAACATTACAACATTTATTATTTTAATTCATTCTTTATATTTTTTTAATTATATCTTTTTTTTGCTCTATACTTTCTTTTGATTTCTTGATTGATACAAGTTTTTCAAAAGTATTCCCTTTCAAGGAAATGTAGGGTATATTTATTGAGATCTCCTTAAAAAAAACTGATATTAATTAACATTTATAGATTTAATGTTAAATGAGACTTCAATAAATTAATAATCCAAACAGAGAACAGTATGCATAGATTTGAAGTGATTATAATAAAGATTAATTTTAATTACTTAATTGAAACCTAACTTAACAAAAAAACTGCAGGATTATTTCATAAGATATTCTGATAATTTATTTAATTTTTTACTATTTATAAACATAAGTCTTAATAGATAAAATTAATAATAATGTAAAATTAGTTTCTAAATAGTAAAAGATATATTTAATAACAAAGATAATAATAAAAAAAGATATGACAAGTATTAAAAAAATAATGTTAATCTTAGAATATAATCTAAACTATATATCAAAGTTAAAAAAATATGATATTGATTAATTTTAACTTAACTCTCAATTCAAGATAATGTATCAATCAACCGTTAATTGATAAGATATTAAAAAACTTTGAAAACATATTCAAAAAGTAGTATAATTTTGAAATTATTAAGATTTAAGGAGATAATTATATTTTCTCTAACCATTTTATATATGAATCTTAATTATTGATTAACTTGAGCTCAACATGAAATTTTACATACATTAAATAATAAACAGTTATTACTCAATGTATAATCACTGTGGTCCCTTCGAAATGATTTTTACAAAATTAATTAAAATCTATTCAAAAATAATATTCCTTAATTCTTTAAAAACTCATTAAATGGTTATATTTTACAAATAAATTAAGAAATTGCACCTAAATTGTAAAATTAAAAAGGAAATAATTATTGGTATTGATAAACACAATGGACAATCTTAATAAAATTTATCTTCTCTATAACAATCTCCTAAGATAAATTGAACGATAAATTATTTAAATATATAAAAAGCATTCATATTAGTCACACTTAAATGCATGAGTATTTTCTCTTAAATTTCCAAAATAAATTTTTCAATAACATTATTAAAATTTAAAGTTTATAAAATCAATTTAATAAAAATAATAGTATTACTGTTAATTACATATGAGTTGAGAAAATTATTAATTTATGAAATTCAATATTAGAATATATTGACTCTCAAGAAATACGAAGATAGGAAAACCTAGAAATGATAAACCTGAAAGATTTAGTTGTAGAATCTACATTATAAATCTG